CGGTGATTCTTTAAAAAAACCGCCCCCTCCCTGCTCCTCGCTGCCCCCCACCCACCCTCCAGTCCCAGCCGGCAGCCGTCCCGCTCAGCCATCGGTAGCCAGGATGACGACAGCTCCAAAAATACCGACATTTTGCCCGATGAGTTTCATTTGATTCCAGAACTCGACCCGGCGCGAGTCGTGCCAGTAGCCGATGTTGCCGTCAATGAGGAGGATGGCAAGGGGCAGGAGCACCGCCAGCACCTGCGCCGCCGCCCGCACGTAGTAACCGGAGAGGAAGGCGAGGGCCAGGAGGCCGTAGAGGATGAAGAGGAGCTGGAGGGCGAGCTCACCCCCCAGGAGGTGGTTCAGGTAAGCCAGGCGGTCCTCCTTGCTGTGCTGCAGGGAGTAGGCCTGGGGCGGGGGGAGAACGACGATGGGGAGAGGGACTGGAGCATGGCGGTAATGGTGCCACTGGTGGCACTGGTAGCGCTCTCCTAAGGCTTCTCCCCCAGGGAAGGAAACCCCCGGCGGATCCAGCCCCCCCTGCCTGCAGCAGGGTGGGAGGCAGGACGTGGCTGTCACCCACCCCGCGATGTCCCGTGAGCCCCCCCTCGTACCTGGCAGATGAGGTAGATGCCGAGGAAGACCTGCCCTGTGGACTGCAGGGAGCGGCTGCGTGGCTTCTGGCGGTAGAGCTCACCTGCACCGCTGGCCAGGATGAGGAAGCCGCCGATGATGGCGATGGTCCGGGAGTACATCCGCACCTGCGCCGCGGTCACTGTCACCCCCCCTGGGCCCCTCCGAGGCCGGGGTGGGCTGGGGGGGAGGGGTGTAGGAGGGTGTCTCACCTTCAGCCAGTCACCGTAGTGAACGTGGCCACCGACATGGGCAGCGTAGGTGGCCACGGCGAGCTGCAGGGCGGCCCCCAGGGCAAACCAGCGGCGCTTCACCCCGAAGGACATGAAGCTGGCGCAGAGCACGGCCACCCCCATGTCCACGTACAGGTAGGGGACGGGGATGTCCGGCTTCCTGGGGGGCACGGCAGCTCCAGCCTCTGACCCCCACAACCAGCCTTGGCCACGCTCAGTCCCAGAACCTCCCTCCAGCCCCCTCAAGAACCCCCTCACCCCCTAACACTACCAGAGCCCTCCCCTGGCCCCATACA